GAGATTGTGTTTGGTATTGGAAATGTGGTGAAACAAAATTTGCTTGGTGATGAAATTGTGGTGGAACCATTAAATTTTGAGCACCATAAACTGGGGTTGAAAAACTTTGTTAATTACTACCCGCTACTGACCCAACTTCACTACTTCTAGGTTCAACAACATACAATGTAACATCATCTTGCGAAACACTAATGTAAGCAATGAATCGTTCAACATCTTCATTGTCGGTTAACAAATAAACTTTACCTTTTCTCTGATAAGATAACCTAAATCCACTTAAGGGCTCTAAATTCAATTTATTTGCAACACATAACATTAGAGTTTCATAAGTTAACTTTTTTAATGACAGTTTTAGTTAAAGATTAATGGGTAAAGGCATATATTGTAAAACACCATGAACATTCTCCCATGACCCTCCAAAACACAAATATATCCAAACATGATCAACATTAGATGATTTCATTATTGTAAATTAATTTACTAAACAAACGAGCTGCGAAACTAAAATCTGTTGCCGGATGGGGAAGGATGTCGTTGGATATAGGAACGGATGTCGCCGGAGAGAGTAATAGATGGAGATGGAATGAGTTGCGATTTAGGGATTTAGGTTATAAGTTGCTTCTGCTGCGTAGTTATATACCCAAAACATTTGTGTTGCGAAACTAAAACATGTTGCGAATTTGAAATTCAATGTTGCGACAGTCAGACTCGCGTTGCGATAGTCAGAATCTCGTTGCGATAGTCAGAATCGCATTGCGATAGTCAGAATCGCATTGCGATAGTCATAATCGCATTGCGATTTACATATTCGCTTTGCGATAGTCATATTCGTATTGCGATTTACATATTCGCATTGCGATAGTCGGAAAATCGCAACGCGAATTTGGAAAATCGCAATGCGATAGTCAGAATCGCGTTGCAAATCTGGAAACTGATTTGCGATACCGGAGATCGCGTTGCGAATTATCGATCGCATTGCGATTTAGTTGGTCATTTTGGCAAATCCAAAAAAAGTTGGTTAAAATCGTATATTATAAGGTATTTTTGGTCACTGAGGTTATTTTCTCTTTATAAAAAGTAATTTATATAAGTTATGAATTGGCCCACAAATAAATTAATACTTCTCCGCCACCAAACCTAGAAAGTTCCCCTTCTTTTTCTTTATAACCTTCACACTAGGGTTGTAAAGCGAGTCATGTTGAGTTAGACTCGACTTGAAAACTCGAAAATTTAAATTTTTTAAGTTTGATTAGAACTCGAAATCATAAACTGAAGCTCATAAAAGCCAGAAATTGCTCAAAAAGAAAAAAAAAATAATAACTTAATTAAAACCTTAAACTCAATCTCAAACTTGAACCTTAAATACATGAAAATCTTATACTATATTTTTAAAAAATCAACATATAAATGTTATTATTATTATTAATTTATTTTTTAGACCAATCGAGCCAAGTATTTATCGAGATTTAACCAAGTCGATCACGAATAACTAACGATTTGTCTCATCTAATTTACAACCCTATTTCGCACTTCTTAAACTTCCCTTTTTAATCACATTTCTCTAATTTAATAATACTTTTTACTTTTTAAAGTTGTGATCGGTCTCTAAAAAATAATAAGTAGGGAGCTTTTTTTTATGGTAAAGTAAGATTTTATGAATCGATAAATTGTATTAATTGAATATTTTTTCTTTAGACGTTTTGGCTTTTCAGAATTTAACTTCACAATCTAATTTTCTAACTTCAATCTTGACACAAACCACTTATTGCTCCTCCCTAATTTCAATTTATTTATTTATAAAAAAAGATGAAATTAAGACATTCATTCATTTATCAAACCAAATAAAATAGTATCAATTTTAAATTCTGCATAGGGAAAAAGAAAAAGAGAATCATACACGCATCGTCTTAATTTCGACAGTCAATATTCCTACAAATAAGAGTCAAACTTGTCATATTAGTTTATGCCACGTCCCTTCAAAAATGGTCTCAAAGATGTTAATAACCCGACTTTAACCTGTATTTCATTTTTGCACCGACGAAGCTCAAGGAACCTCTGTTATTGACCGGTTAACTACGAACAGTATTATTATAAAGTATAAAATCTTACGTCCGTTTTAAAAAAAAAGAACTGGCAACACTAGTAGTGTGCCTTGAAACTTGACACGAACAGAGAGTACGGTTCAGTTTAGTTAGATTTTAGTATGTCTGTGATGCGAAAGTTAGGTTTGTCTTAAACCCATTTATTTCAAAAAGCGTAGCCATATGTTTTATTCTTAGCGGTTAATGGGGGTGATGAAAAATCGAATTTTACCTCCTCAAGACCTTTGACAAGAAAACCCATCCAGCCTCGTGTTTATTGCCGTATTTACCCAAAAAAAAACCTCCTTGACATTTTTTATTTACGTATGAGACATTATTTGAGAAAATTTTATCGATTTAACACCATTTGCACATAGGCATGGATGATGATTCGAGTCTTACGTTGATGTGGCGTCATATGCAGTAAAGCGTGGATGATGATCCGCATCTTATTCCAACTGGCACCACATCAACGTAAGACGCGAACCATCATCCACGCCTTTCTGCAATAATGACACGCGCCTTTTATTATTGGTTCTGAATTTTTCGACCTTTAAACTTTCTCTCGATTATAAACAATTTAATAAAATACTAAAATATTAACTTATTATAATATAATATATTACATTTTAAATGGAATTTGATCGGATTTAAACTTTGAGAGGGTTTGAGTTTTGATATGATTTGAGATGATTTGGTGTGTTTGAAATAGAATATGAGTATGTATTTATTGGGTTTGAGATGGGGTTGGTCGGATGGATATCATTAATTGGAGAAGTGTGAACGGTTGAAATTAAATGAAAGACACAAATTGTGATCCGTGACTTTCTGGCATGTGTGTCAGACTTGCAAAAAGGCACAGATAATGATCTACACATTTCTACAAAGAGTGCTAAATCGATAAAAAAAAATTTAAAAAGAATTTTTGACACGTAAATGAAAAAATGACAGCTTGTTTTTTTAACTATTGGGTAAATTACCTAGTTGATACTTCACACATTTTAGCATATTTATTTTGGTTACCTGATTTTATATTTTATTTTGATATTGCGCTATTAAATTTGAATATTGATTAATGAATATGGTGATGTGACATAGTACAACAACAGTGTTAATCTCAAAGCTTACCCATTCTATTAAATTAGTCGTACTTTGAAATAATTTAATAAATTCTTAACGTTTAAAAATTATTGTTAAAATAATAATTTTATGATTTATATTTTCTTTAATTAATTTCATTATTTTTATTTGAGCGTAAAATTAATTGGATTTAAAAATATTAATGAGTCTAAGGTTAAAATTTATTACGTCATAAATTCATAATAGTTCAAACTGGTCTGGAGATTGGATGAATATAAACGAACGAATATAAGTGAACGAATTATCGAACGTAAATGAACGAACAAGTCTTTTGTTCTTGGTGAAAACACTTTAACGTTTATATTTATACTTGGTGGAATAATACCATAATAATCCCTAAATACCATATTGATAAGCGAGATTTATTTATATTTGATTGATATTTTTATATTTTAAGAAGTTTTAACTGATTTATTATTGAAATAAATGGGAGAGAAGTTTATTTATTGTACAACCAAATGCCTACAATTTTTTTATCATACGTTTTGAAACTCAATGCAAGTTTTTTCACGAGACAAGGTGTGTTTGGAAGGGAACTTAGTGATTAGTTTTAGGTTTAATTTTTGTTAGTTACATACGTATGGTAGGTTTGGATAATTATAGATATGTAATTGGCACTAATAAATTCTTATTACGTTGTAATAGTGGTTAGTCTCCATTGTTTGACGAGTTTATTAAAGTCATTATCAGATACTGTTGACTTCATTTACGTCGTCCTCCAACATGTTTCTTATTTTAAACAGGATTGCAGGAGGTTAAACTTTTAATGTCTTTAGCAATTATTCACATGGCGGATTCATAATTTTATAAATGGGGTCTAAAAATTCTAAATTCTATTTTTTCAACATGGCGGGTATGCAAAATTTTTTTTTATCTTTTCTTATTCTCTTAATATATTGAACTATAGTTTCTACCTAATTTAAAATAATAGGTATGCATTTGGTCTCTCACGGGGTCATATGCATCCGCCCCCGACACTAACACAAATCAAACCTAGCGATGGTGTGTGCGAGGATTTTGACTCTAGTCATCCAATGAGAGTAAGGGGCTGTTTGTTTGGCTCTGAATGGAACCATTCAGAGCTGAATGTTGAACCGTTCAGCATTCAGCGTGTTTGTTTCTCACATCTGAATGATTCAGTGTTGAATGATTCAACAAAACAGTGCTGAATGATTCAACAAAACAGTGTTGAATGATTCAGCACTGTGATTCAACAAAACAGTGCTGAATGATTCAGCACATAAGTACATTCTGAATGATTCGGAGCCATTATCAAACAACATGTCACATTCAGAGCTAATTCATACAGAGCCTCTGAATCATTCATCATTTGAATTATTCAGCTCTTAATCATTCTGAAGTAAACAAACAACCCCTAAATAATATATATATATATATATATATATATTATATTTAAATACTTTAAAAATACTAAAAGGTCAAATTGGTATTTTATATGAAATTCAATGATCGAATTAAAAATTAACCATTTCTATTAACATATCAGGTCTCAAACTAACTGGAGTTGTCAACTCAATGATCAAACTATAACAATCACTATTATAAGTATTCAAAATTTAATAAATCGGCAACTTAAGTGATTAAAACATAACTTTTTTAAAATTTGATGAGATAAATATACAAATATGAAAGAAATGTGATTATTCAGATAATTTATCCAACTGGTAGGTAGGGAGGCCAATCTTTATACATTTATAAATGGACAAAATTAACTTGAATGGTTAAAGTTTAACCCAACTCTTACACTCTCCCCAAACTTCAAAGTTCTCAAACCCACTTTGAAGTCATAATTTCCTTCTGCTTCAGCTTGTTTTTAGTAAAACCCCAGAAAACCAATTTTATAATATCCTCATTGTGTATATATAATTGGGAATATCAAGTGTGCTCACTTTGCATTGAAAAAGAAAGAAGAAAATGAAGAAGTCTCCAGATTGTTCTTCCATTACTTCACCTTCTTCTTCTTCAGCATCATCATCGTCGTCTGAGTTTCTTCATAATATTCCATCAGTAGTGTCAGAGAAGCCCAAGGCTAAAAGGGGCAGAAAACATCGAAAATGCTGCTCCAGTTCTAACTCTACAAGAAGAAGCTCCATTTACAGAGGAGTCACCAGGTTTGTTGTTCTAATGAGAAGAATTTAAACCCAAAATGTATGCGTTTTGGGCTTAATTTTGCATTTGCATGTCTGATATTTTGATTGGTTTTTATTTTTCTTTTTAAACAAAGGCATAGATGGACCGGGAGATTTGAGTCTCACCTTTGGGACAAGTCTTCATGGAATAACATCCAGAGCAAAAAAGGAAGACAAGGTAATAAATATATAACCTTTTTTTGGGGAGAGAAAAAAAAGGAAATTCAAGGAAAAGCATATCTCTGATATTTGTTTATTGTTTTTCTTTTTTAAACATATTTGATGGTTTAGTTTCAACTCTGACCCTGTTTTCTTTATTTTCCATGCATTTACACTTTTGTCGTCTCCTTAGTTTATCTGGGTAAGTCCTTCACTTCACTCACATTCACTCTGTACTTCAAATTCAGAAAAAAAAACAGTATAATTTTAATGGGAAAAGGTGAAATCTTGATGTGCAGGAGCTTATGAGAGTGAGGAAGATGCAGCTCGAACCTACGATCTCGCAGCACTCAAGTACTGGGGACCCAAGACCACCTTGAATTTTCCGGTAAAAAATATTACTTTCGATTTGGTGCGTGAAAAAAAGAGAGCAAAGAAACTGTGTAAATGGTGTGATGGGTACTGTTATCATGTAATCCAGATGGATCGATATGAGAAGGAGATTGAAGAAATGAAGAAGATGTCAAAGGAGGAGTATTTGGCTTCCCTGCGCCGGCAGAGCAGTGGATTCTCACGAGGAGTTTCCAAGTACCGTGGGGTGGCTAGGCATCACCACAATGGGAAATGGGAAGCTCGAATTGGTCGAGTTTTCGGAAACAAATATCTCTATTTGGGAACTTATGGTAAGCCTCGGAACTCATATTCTAATCGAAATGAAGTCACGGGTCGGATCGGTTCGGGTTTATTTGGTGGACCATGATTCTTTATAGTGAAATAATCGATATGGTTTTAGTTGAAACGATTAGGCGTTATTCATTTATGTATGCTTTACTCTCTTGTTGTCAAGACACACAAGAGGAAGCAGCGGCGGCATATGATATGGCGGCGTTGGAGTACAGGGGGGCTAATGCCGTCACCAATTTCGACGTTAACCGTTACATAGAACGTTTGAAGGATAAAGGAATTTTGCTTCTCGATCAAACACAAGAACGGAGTCCCAAAGCTCGACCGATGGGAGCCGAAGAAGTCGAACAACCACCGCAACAAAAACAAGGAGTGGAAGAAGTTGCTGATATGCCTCAACTTCCCCATTACATGCAGCTCCCTCTATGCGTTGACGACGCGGTGATGGTCATGACGGAGACGACCGATGGCAACGAGCTAGCGTGGAGTTTCTGCATGGATTCGGGTTTGGCGTCGTTTTTTGCTCCGGGCTTCCCTCTCGAAGAAACAGGCGAATTACCAAACTTGTTCGATGGCATTGCATTCGAGGATAATATCGACTTGATATTCGACTAAGGACCTGAAGAAAATGCGGCCAACGAGGAGTGGCTCATCGGATGATGCAAGTTGCGGTGTCAGAATTGGTGCATCCATGAACAGGCAAGATGAGAATGGGAAGGAATTTGCTGTATGTTGCTTATGATTCTCCCATGTTCCTCAGGGACCTCGGTTTCGTTCTATTCCTCTGTTTAACGGTTTTTCATTTTGGGTTCAGAGTTGGGGCTGTTGGGAGTTTGTGGTTGGATGGATACCATGCAAAGATCCAACATGTTAGACATATGTATGTATGTATGCATGTCAATTAAATGTATGTATGCATGTCAATTAAATTAAAATAGGAGAAAGGACTAACTAATAAAATGAAGTCCTGTAACCAAAAATTAATTAATCGGGAGTTAACTGGTCTCTAATATATGGACAGTAAAAGAATTCGGATATCAACCCGATTCGATAGAGTCGAAATTTTGAACGAAATTAGAGACTGGAATTAGGGAAAAGTTTTCATCATTAGATATTTACGAAAGTATTTTTTATTATATATTTATGTATTATTAATTAAATTTTAATAAAAAATGTGTAAAACGTTTATGTCAAAAAAAAAACGTAAAACGTTATCATATTAATATAGGGTAGTATAGTAAAAATCATGTAAAATTGGATCTGATTCGTATTTCTAGTAAACTTTTTAAATTAATATGAAAATAAGTATAATATTTTAAATTCATATATGATTTTATTAGGAAGATGGACAATTTTTTTTCTTTCCTTTTTTGAGTAAAGGGGAGAGGCCAAAGCCTTAACTAGATGCGAACAAGACGATGGAATGGGGGACCCCAAACATCACGATCAAGAATAGAACAATTGAGGAAGGGGCCTAACGGAGAATAGTCACCTGAAAGTTGGCACCAGAGGACAATCTGGCAATCTCATCAGCAACTTTATCTTCTTCGCGAGGGTTCTACAAAGTCGGATTTAAATCTGATCCGGATCGATCGATTTTATTCGATCCGGTTTTTTCACCTAGTCAAAAAATCAGATTTTAAAAAAATCGGTTCGGATCCTAATCGGTTTGGAGGGTCGAATGGTGTAAATCAGTTTCAGTTTGAAAAAAATCGGTTTTTAATCCTGTAAAAAAACTGGTCGTTCAATTTTTTTCCCAAACTGATTGTATTAACAGCTAGTTTTTAAACTCCATACCAGATTTTTTTCGGATAAAAAATCAATTTTTATTTGGTTTTTTTTCAAACCGATTTTTAATCCGGTAAAAAAATTGGTTGTCTAATTTTTTCCTAAACCGATTATACTATTTAATTTTAAAATATTCGATCCGATTTAAAAAAACAAATTTTATCTAAATCCGATTTTAAATATTTTTTACACAATTAAATATTCAAATTTTTCGTACCCTCTAATCCAAGTGACTTCAATGCGCTAGCTTTGATTACAGTGCGAGGTCATGGCGTGAATCAATGACGAATTTAAAAATTAAAAAATAAAATTTTAAAATTTTATCTTTCTGTTTTAAAATTTTTGAGTAGGCAATTTTTTTCTCTATTTTTATTAATAAACTATTTAAATTTAGTATTTTTCTCGAAATAATAGATTGCACTCTGGAGAGAGCCACGTACATCCGCCCTGCGTGAACCAAAGGAAAAGGGCTTCGCTGAGCTTCGCGATCATTGATGAGAAGAGCGGCTTGAGTATTATCAGTTTGGATAAGAATTGAGTTGAGTCCGAACGACCGAGCGAGCTTGATGCCAGTGAGGATACCCCAGAGCTCCGCTTGAAGAGGGTTAGAGATGCCAACAACTTTGTTAAAACCCATAAGCCAACCACCATCGGCCGAACGGATAACACAGCCAACAGTCCCTTCATTCGTGGTGGGATCAATAGCAGCGTCAGTGTTAATGCAACACCAACCATCAGGAGCGGTTTCCATTTAACTGATTCTTTAGTACGAGCAGGAGAAGGAGAATTGGTCGGAATGCAATTAGCAAAATAATTGGTCCAAGCAACACTGCAGTTCCATGTCTCGTTCGTCGAAGGGTAAGTGGTAAACACGTGGGGGGTTTATCTGTTCTCTTTATCCCAATTTAAGAATAAGAAAAAGGGTTTATTCGGTTGTTCTTCGAGAATTATTTCCTCTTAGGGCGTCTGTCTCAGTGGGATCTCTAAGCCAGTAGAAGATGAATGCCCCAATTATTGGTAAAACATCATCTCTTTTTTCCTCTCCTTTTAAAAATTATTTCTTTTGTTGTTTTTGGGTTTTCTGAAATTGGGTTTTGTTTGGAAGATCCATTGCAAGGAGATTTTCCAGAGGTGATAGAAGAGTATTTGGAGCATGGGGGTTATGAAATGCATTGCCTTTAATCGCCGTGGTACCCTTCTCGCCGGTAAATTTCCCTCCCTTTATTATATATATTTTTTTCAATAGAAAATTGGTGCTACGAATGTTCAGTGTTTTTGATCGAAAAGCTGTAACTTTTCCTTAGCGATTTGAGCTAGTTGGAGTTGCAAGATAAGTTTTTTTTAATATAATGGGGGTGATTACAAGGTAGTATAAGTGATTCTGTTCATAATCTTTTTGGTCATTTATGACTCATACATACCGTACACGTAGCTGTTCGAATTTAGACCCTCTTTGAGAACAACATTACCTTTTACAACTGAAGCCACTCAATGTGTTATGAAAGATAAGTTCTTTTCCAAGGTTAAGACTTACTTGGTTTCTATCATTAACTAAAATTTGAAGAAGGGGAAGAAAATACATATTTAATTGTTAATAGCATAACCAAAACAGGGAAATCCCATCAAAATGCGGTATCTTTTACTCAAACAACATAACTAATTTGGCTTTATGCCAGACAGTCTACTACGAAGATGATTCATCTACTTCGACGGCTTATAGGGAAATCTAAGAAAAAAAATAGAGATCTTCACATGGCGTTCATTGACCTTAAGAAGACGTACGATAGCGTTCACCGCGAGACGATCTGGAAGACCTTGGAAATGAGACGGATCCCAACTGCTTATATCCGGGCGATTCGTGATATGTACTCTAGATCTACTATATACGTCAGGACTACAGTTGGCGACACCGAGGCTTTCCCGATGGAAATCGGATTCCACCAGGGGTCGGCACTTAGCCCTTACATCTTCGTCTTGATTATGGACGACATCTATTGTGCGACCCCAGACGGTGTTCCATGGTGCATGCTTTTCAATGACGACATTTTCCTAGTTGCTGAAACAAAAACTGAGCTGAATAGTAGACTGACTACCTGGAAGATTGCTTTGGAAGAAAAATGTCTAAGGATCAATATTGAAAAGACAGAGTAATTATATTCAAACTTCAGTGAGAAACAAAACGATGAAGATGTAGAAGTATGCATAGAAGGACACGTTCTCCCCTTAAAGGTTGTTTCAAGTACCTAGGGTCTATGATACATAAAGATGGGGTGTAGATGATGACGTTACACACCGTATAAAGGCGAGATGGCTAAAGTGGAGGGCTGCAACTGGAGTTTTGTGTGACAAGAAGGTGCCTCTAAAACTTAAGGGAAAATTTTATAGAATAACAATAAGATCAGCACTGCTGTATGGATCAGAACGTTGGGCAATCAAGAAGGATCACGTAAGGAGGATGGAGGCCACAGAAATGAGAATGCTTCGATGGGCATGTGGTAAGACTCTGTGGGACATGACACCAAACTCTGCTATTAGGATGTCCTTGGGGGTGGTGCCTTTATTCGAAAAATTGAGGGAGGGAAGACTACGGTGGTTTGGGCATGTCCTTAGGCGACAACCGTCGGATGCGGTCAGGAGGGTAGAGTCGATTACAGTCAATGGTGCCAGAAGGAGAGGACGACCAAGGCGGAAGTGGGAAGACTGATTTAGATCTGATTTGAAGGATTTAGCCCTTATCGAGGATATGACCTCTGATAGGAAATTATGGAGACTTAAGACCAGGGTAGCAGAGTAGTGTGGGTCACATCTATAGGGTGTGTCATCTCTGTCTTCTTTTAATGTCTTTATAGTAATTTCCATGACTTCTACTTTTTATACGTTTCTGTCATTTGAATTTATGAAGGTTTAGAACTAGGATATCAGAGTAGTGTTACCTTAGTTTAGGTTTTATCCCATTGAACTTTATTCCTTCTCGTAGCTTGCTAACGTTGACTACTGTGTATCCTTCTCTTCATGTTTCATCTTTTTAAGTTTAGTCGGGTCTTACGTTTCTGTCTATATACAAAGATTTTTTATGCAGGGATTTATTTGCAGGGAGTACTTCCCAGTACAAACGCGCATATGAAAACTGTTCAACTATGTATTTATTTATTTATTTATACATGCATTGCATTTTATCTTTATTTTAATTTTTTGACTGTCGAAGGTCTTCCACGGAAACTGCTCTCAACCATGCGTTGGGGGCAGCCTACTACCCTACCTCTCCCTTACCCCATTGCATATGGGAATAGGGTTTTATTGTTGTTGTTGTTGGGATATTTAGTTGGCCGGGGAAAGTATGACGAATTGCAGTTCATGATATTTTAAAGTATCACTCTTCTGACTATTTTTCTGCTGAACCTGCAATTATGTGTTTAAGAACACCATGCTGGTAAATCTCACTTCGTGAACATATTTGTGGTTTTTGCATTTAATGGCAGCTGGATGCTTTGATGGAAGTTGTGTTATTTGGGACTTTGAGACCAGGGGCATCGCCAAGGAGCTTAGAGATAGAGACTGTACTGCTGCTATAACAAGTGTCTGCTGGTCAAAGTATGGCCATCAAATTCTTGTGTCTGCTGCTGACAAGTCATTAACACTTTGGGATGTTGTCAATGGTGAGAAGATTACTCGTATCGTTCTGCAACAAACGCCTTTACAAGCTCGTTTTCATCCGGGTTCCTCAACACCATCTGTCTGTTTAGCTTGCCCCCTATCATCTGCTCCAATGATTGTTGACTTAAGTACTGGAGGCTCAACTGCACTCCCAGTCAATGTTTCCGACATGGGAAATGGTGTTGCTCCACCTTTTCGTAACAAGATCCCTGATGGAACCTCTTATACACTCACTGCTGCCTGCTTTAACAAGAATGGAGATCTGGTATATGTGGGGAACTCCAAAGGTGAAATACTTATAATAGATCACAAAAATGTCAAAGTACTTGCTATAGTTCCAATTTCTGGCGGTGCTATGATCAAGAACATTGTTTTCAGCAGAAATGGACAGTACCTCCTTACAAATTCAAATGATAGAGTGATCAGGATTTATGAAAATATTTTACCCTTGAAAGATGGAATTAGAGCTCTTGATGACCTTAACAAGACCATCAGAATGGAAGATACTCTTGAGAAGCTGAAGGCTGTTGGATCCAAATGCTTGGCTCTTTTTCGGGAGTTTCAAGATTCAATCACGAAGATCCATTGGAAAGCACCATGTTTCAGTGGTGATGGTGAGTGGGTAATAGCTGCTTCTTCTATCAAAGGAGAGCATAAGATGTACACATGGGACCGTGCTGGTTATCTTGTAAAAATCCTTGAAGGCCCAAAGGAAGCCATGTTTGATTTAGTGTGGCATCCTGTCCACCCTATTATTGTCTCTGTTTCCTTGACTGGCTTGGTTTATATCTGGGCTAAAGACTACACTGAAAACTGGAGTGCATTTGCTCCTGATTTCAAAGAGCTTGAAGAAAATGAGGAGTATGTGGAAGGAGAAGACAAGTTTGATCTGGTGCCTGAAACCGAAAAGGTGATGCAAAACAGTTATTGTGCGTGAATATTTTGATTAGGCTTTTGTTTCTAAATTATTTTTATCGGTGCAGGTGAAAGAATCAGATATAAATGAAGATGATGAAGTTGATATTGTGACAGTGGAGGAGGATCCACTCAGTGATTCTGATATGTCACAAGAGGAGTTACGCTTCTTGCCTGCCACTCCTTGTCCTGATGATCCCCAACAGCAGGACAAATGTGTGGGAAGTTCGTCAAAGTTGGTTGATAGTAATCATTCCGGATCATCTCTCTCCGAAGAGAATGGACAGAATGGACAAGCAGCCCACGATGCCTCAAGTCCACTAGAGGGTAAATTTCCCCCCTCAAATGTAATAAATGTTTCAATCTCCTTTTTAGTCATGTTTGATTGGAATCAGGGTTTCAAAAAACGGTCTGCGACCGCGATTTCGGCCGCGATATAGCGGTTCCCGCCGTCCGAGTTACCCGCGACGACCGCAGTAGCGCGACAATCACGGTAAATCCGAAATAACCGAAAACGCGACCGCGATCGCGATTTGAAACCCTTATTGGAATGGTATTCTAGCCGCATAAAACAATGAAGTTCATTGGTCCTCATTTGTGAAATAGGTTCCCAAATCAATGAGTTTAAAATCCAAATGAGTTGTGGGTGAACCCTCTTAAGCTAGCAATGATGATGCCAACTTTATTGAAAATAGAATTCCTAACTTAGTGGTTTGATAAGTAGTTATTTATGTTGATTATGCTTAACACCATTATCTCCTGCGTCCTAAGTCTGTATAATGTAAAAAGGCGGTTTAATAAGCCACACAGTCAGTTAATTATAAGAATAGTCTGTTTTGTTTTACTTCTATTCTATTTCTTTTATTTTACATGTATTGAACTTCAGGAAAAGAAAACTATGTAATCTATTCTTATAATTATATAATTCTTCACGTTTGATTTCTTAATAACAATTAGTTATGCCATGTACAAAAAGATCATACAAGCCAGCATTAATAGTATTAATTGCACAAACATTTTGTATTCATAGTTTCATACGCATGCATATGCATGATAAGTGCGAAGTCTACACATTTGGTTAAATTTTGTAATAGTTTTGTTATTTTTAAACTGAAACGGAAGAATATTTCTATATGAAATTGTCATTGCTTTCTGGTAGAATATCTTCAATATGCAGTTTCATGTGTGAGTAATGACTAGTTGTAATAAACATAAATGTCGGCAATTTCAAAGGGGGTTTGAATATGCTGTTGTGTTGTCAAGTTGGATCATGATGCTGGAAGTTTTCTGCATTCTGAGTCGTTTACTTTTGGATTTTAACTGAATCTTTCGATACCTTTTAGTGAATTTTGGTTTCATGCAAGATGGGGGAATGTTATTACAGATGACAACTAAAATGGAGATCTATTTCTTTAGATTTTCATAAAAAAAAAAGCTGAATATAATGTAAAAGCAAATATTTTCAGTTTGGAGGAAAAGTGCTTAACCTGGCGTGTATATTTCGAGTTAGAGCTAGATGCCATGATTTTAAATTATTGATCAATGTAGACTTTTAGTATCTTAGTTACACTTTTTTCAGATTGTTGATGTTCTACGTTGACTTCCCAAGTTTAACACGACTTGTATGTTTAATTTGTGAATTGTTACAGAGGATACGGCCGGAGGCAATCAGTCGAAAAGAAAACGGAAGCTTTCAGAGAAGGGGTTGGAGTTACAGGCCGAGAAGGTCAGGAAGCCATAAAAGCCTTGAAATCTTCTGGTAGGTTAATGAAAACAAAATATAAATCCGTTGACGATCAGGATAATGGCAATGGTTTATATGCGGATGATGGATCCGATGATTACTAGTAGATCAGAATTGTCCTATATTTGTCATTCGGACAGGTGAATGGAAAAGGAAGAGTGAAGAGAGAATGAAAATCATGTAGATGGACAGCTTAGAGCCATTTTATCAAAATTTCCCTTTTAAGAGATTGAGTTTATTATCCATAGATGCACATATTACCTAGGTGGATGACCGAACCCTGCTGGAGCAACGTTAACTCAAGTTTTTGCTATATTAATCATGGTAGGGCAAAAGGTCAGTTCAATACCTTAAACACCAGCATATATGGTGTAGGGGTGCTTATTTGTCTTATAATCTGTTTAACTTGTATCACTGACCTATTGGTTTTCGAGGTTCTTTAATATAAAAAAAACTATTTACTCAATGGAAAAACGTTGATCATGATGTTGGGAATGAACAACTTTAAGTTCCACTTGGATGCTTACATTTGGAACCGTATTGGAAGAACGGTGCATGCGATTTGAGAATTTCATGCTGGCAATCGCTCTATTCCAGTGCTTTGGATCGACTCCCATTTACAGATTTCCATCGGGTTCTCAAGGGCCTTTTGACAAATTGGGTCATTTTGATCTTCGTCTCAGATTCAAAAAATTCTTTGACAGAATTTCTTTAGAGAGGTGTGTATTCTTTTTTATACTTCCAATTTTACTAATTTTAAGCGGATTGTGATCTTTGTTGATTGTTCCTCCTGGAATCTAGGGTTTTTGATTTTTGACCGGGCGATAGAATTTGAATATTTTTAATTGATTGTTGTAAAGCTTGTTAGAATATCGTCGAGCTTTAGATCCATGGGTACAAGAGATCTGGAAAGTTCGATTTACTCTTCAGCGTCCTAGTAGTTTCCCTTACAGCTCGGTTCTTAGTTTTGGTTATTCAATGCAACTTAAACTTGTTCTTTTGAAGTTAATTTGGAGTTATTTTGCTTGGATTATTTATAGAAATTTTACTGAGAAAAGTTCATGTTTTGAGTAAGGCTTTAAGTTGACGACGTCTTAAATATCCATAGAATTTGTTATTTACTTGAAAAGTAGTTACGCTTTGAGTAGGATCTACTGGATCTATATTTTACTACTTTGCTTTGAGTAAGATTTACTGGCTCTTTATTATTTCATTGTCATAGACTCTTAGTATCTTATATCATTACCGTTATTTCAAATTGAGTATAATTGATATAAAGATTTATAAATTTTGTTGTGGTTTTACCACTTGATTTCTAGCTGTTGGCCTAAAGTTAAGTAAGATAGTGTTAATTTGTCTTAAAAATTATATTTCGTATCCAACTAGGCTTCGTAGTACCCCTCAATTTTCTAGCGTTTTATTGGTGCATCTTCTGTCTTCTTTGCATTTTGTTTCATAGTTCCTCATAGCTTCGGTTATAGATGATTACTTGAGGTCATGTCCTTCTTTTAGATCCCATGGGACGTATAGGGGGAGGGCTCGACAGAGTGGTGACAAAGAGACTAGACTAAGAGTTTGCTCGTTGAATGTAGGCACATTAAATGCTAGGCTGCTGGAGCTGACCGACGTACTTAATAATAGAAAAATAGATTTTGCATGTATTCAGGAGACTAGGTGGAAAGGGTCTCGCGCCAGAGAGTGTAATGGGTACAAGTTGTGGTATTCAGGCGTAGATAACGCTAGAAATGGGGTGGGTATCTTGGCATCCTCTAGACTCAAGGAAAATGTAATTGAAGTTTGCAGATACCGGGATAGGATCATGATGATTAAGGTTATTATAGATGAGGAAGTAGTAAATGTCCTTTCAGTGTACGCCCCACACGTTGGCCTAGGGGAGGGGGAGAAACGTTGCTTCTGGGATCAGTTAGATGATATACTTAGGAGCATTCCGGAGGACCAAAGAGTTTTCATAGGGGGAGACTTCAATGGCCATATAGGCAGTGCAACCGACGGGTATGACGCTGTTCATGGGGGTTTCGGTTATGGTAGCAGGAACGATGGGGGGCGTATGTTGCTTGATTTTGCTACCGCTCACGATTTGGTGATCACTAACTCCTTCTTTAATAAGAGAGATGCGAACTTGATTACGTTTCATAGCGGGGGACATTGTACCCAAATCGACTACATCTTGGTTAGAAATCGGGAACTATGGGCTTGCATTGACTGTAAGGTGTTCCCTGAAGAGGCATGTGCATCACAACACAGATTGTTGGTTTTGGTGTTCCGCGTACCCCACGGGCGGAGCACTCATAGGAGGGCTAAACTTGGTAAACCTAGGATCCTCTGGAAGAACTTACATGGAGCGACAACTGATGACTTTAGGAGTAAGGTTTTGTCTAATACAGGTTTTGAAACTACAAACTCAAAAAATGCAGATATGTTATGGAAAAATATGGCAAATTCCATCAGAGAGGTGGGCAAAAACACCCTTAGGTTGTCAACGGGGAAGGCCAAGGAACATAAAGAATCGTGGTGGTGGAACGACGAAGTCCAAACTAAGGTGAAGACAAAACAAACTTGCTTCAAGGAGTTTCTACAATGCAATGACGACGAAGAAAGGTCGAGAGCTAAACAAAGATATCAGGAGGCAAAGCGGGAAGCCAAGAAAACGGTAGCTAAAGCAAAGGATAAGGCATACGAGGAAATGTACAAGAGATTAGACACCAAAGAAGGACAAAATGGCATCTTCAGACTTGCAAAATCTAGGGAGAATAGGAAAAAGGATCTAGGTAACATTAGGTTTATTAAGGACAACAATGGTGTTCTTTTAGCGAAAGATCATGATATTAAGAGGGTTTGGGGTAGTTACTTCTTTAGCTTATTTAATGACGGTGCCTCTCCATGTAGAGATAGTATCGTTGATGGGTCAGCCGACTATCATACTACGGCCAATGACTGCCCTACAGGTAGGATTGGGTTTGAGGAAGTCAAAATGGCTCTTAGAAAGATGGGAAGGGACAAAGCTGTCGGTCCTGATCAAATTCCTATCACTGAGTGGTTGGCCCTAGGAGAAGAGGGAGTTAAGTGGTTGACCAACATCTATAATATTATTTTAGATACTGCCAAGATGCCAGAGGAGTGGAGAGAGTCTACGGTGATACCAATTTATAAAAATAAAGGAGATCCCCAACGTTGTGGTAACTACAGAGGTATTAAACTACTCAGCCATACCATGAAGCTATGGGAAAGGGTGATAGAGGCTAGGTTGAGACAAGTCACTAGGGTTTCGGAAAACCAATTTGGCTTTATGCCAGGCAGGTCTACCATGGAGGCGATTCATCTACTTCGACGGCTTATGGAGAAATATAGGGAAAAGTAGATCTTCACATGGTGTTCATTGACCTTGAGAAGGCTTATGATAGCGTTCCCCGCGATACGATCTGGAAGACTTTGAAACGAGACGGATCCCAACTGCTTATATCCGGGCAATTCGTGATATGTACTGTAGATCTACTTCTTACGTCAGGACTACAGTTGGCGACACCGAGGCATTCTCGGTGGAAATCGGACTCCACCAGGGGTCGGCTCTTAGCCCTTACATCTTCACTTTGATTATGGACGACATCTATTGTGCGACACCAGACGGTGTACCATGGTGTATGCTTTTCGCTGACGACATTGTCCTAGTTGCTGAAACAAAATCTGAGTTGAATAGTAGACTGGCTACCTGGAAGACTGCTTTGGAAGAAAAAAGTTTAAGGATCAATATTGAAAAGACAGGGTATTTATGTTCAAACTTCAATGGGAACCAAAACGATGAAGATGTAGAAGTATGCATAGAAGGACACGTTCTCCCATCAAAGGATTGTTTCAAGTACCTAGGGTCTATGATACATAAAGATGGGAGTGTAGATGACGACATTACACACCGTATAAAGGCGGGATGGCTAAAGTGGAGGGCCGCTACTGGAGTTTTGTGTGACAAGAAGGTGCCTCTAAAACTTAAGGGAAAATTTTATAGAATGGCAATAAGACCAGCGCTGTTGTATGGATCAGAATGTTGGGCAACCAAGAAGGATCACGTAAGGAGGATAGAGGCCGCAGAAATGAGAATGCTTCGATGGACATGTGGTAGGACTCTGTGGGATATGACGACAAACTCTGCTATTAGGATGTCCTTGGGGGTGGTGTCTGTTTCCAAAAAATTGAGGGAGGGAAGACTACGGTGGTTTGGGCATGTCCTTAGGCGACTACCGTCAGATGCGGTCAGGAGGGTAGAGTCGATTACAGTCGACGGTGCCAGAAGGAAAGGACGACCAAGGAGGAAGTGGGAAGACTGCTTGAGATCTGATTTGATGGAGTTAGCCCTTACCGAAGACATGACCTCTCATAGGAAAATATGGAGGCTAAAAACTAGGGTAGTCGAGTGGTGTGGGTCACATCTATAGGGTGTATCATCTCTGTCTTCTTTTAATGCCTTTGTAGTAATTTCCATGACTTCTACTTTTTATACGTTTCTGTTATTGGTATTTATGAAGGATTGGAACTGGGCTTGATATCGTTGACGTTTGTTTATCATTCTCTTCATGTTTCTTCTTTTAAATTTAGCTGGGTCTTATGTTTCTGTCTATATGCAGAGATTCTTTCGCAGGGATTATTTTATAGGGATTAATTCCCATTACAAACGCACATATGATTTTAATGACTGCATATGAATACTGTTTAGCTATATATTTATTTATACATGCATTGCATTTTATCTATATTTTTAATTTTCTGACTGTCGGAGGTCTTTCACGGAAGCTACTCCCAACCTGGCGTTGGGGGCAGTCTACTACCCTACCTCCCCCTTACCCCATACATATGGGAATTGGGTTTTGTTGTTGTTGTTGTTGTTACAAAAATGTTGGTGAGATGATAGTTTCATAAGCATCAGACCACATTACGTGATATGAGATTGTATGAGAAAATGTTAAATTTAAAGTTAATTTTATTTGGTAGTAAAATCAACAATTTTGTTGATGAGAAAATGTTGGTTGTGATCACTATTTTAATTTAGACGGAAAGTTGCATCAAACTCTACGGTCTTGCGGCTTGTGGTGGTTTTATTCATGATTCGCATGGACAATGGGTAATTGGTTTTTCCAAAGCTCCTGGGTCATGCTCGGTCTTGGGTGCGGAGCTTTGGGGTATTTATGGAGGCTTGAATCAGGCTTGGCGGTTAGGTGCTCGTAAAGTTCTGGTGGAGACGGACTGTATGGAGGCGTTTCGCCTTGTTCAGCAAGGGAGAGATATGGATGGTGTTTCTCATATGGTTCCTCATTTAGTTGAAATGCTCTCTCGTCGATGGTGGCTTCGTTTTTCACATGTTGCTCGCAATGGCAAGAGTGGCAGATGCGATCGCAAAAGCAGCTTGGC